GCTAGTTGATTCGACATGCTCCAAAAGTTCCACTTCGGAACAACTGGGTCCTCCCTCGAATCTGCGTACAACTTTTGGAAACCGCCTCTTCGAAGAGGGAATAATGATCCTCACCCAGATAAACCGCGCTAGCTTGCCCTTCTGTCAACAACGGCACCGGCGTGATTGTGGGCCGAATATTCGAGAGCTATGACTTGCAGGGTACATCATTGTGGGGAAATCCACAAAAGGGGTTGATCGCAAGGCAGGGAGGGATCGCATCTTCCATGACTTATGGGTGTTTCATTATGGTAAGGATAGCGCACTCGCCCAGAAAACGCGAGGTGCGTGTTCGAGTCCAGCCTGTTGGGAGACGTGCAAAAGAATCGTGAAGTGCCGCTTCGTCGCGCGCGGCGAAAGGCGCGACGTTTCCTTATTTTGCACCCATTCCACTGGAGAATCGGATTTCATGTAGACAAGGACATCGTAGACACTTATGTCTAATTTGGTCATACATTGTCTCTCGACCAATACACCTGAAATCGTCGTCATTAGCGGGCGCGACGTCGCACGCGACGCCCCTGGCGCGGCGAATTACGATTCTCTTGCCACATACCCCAGCCTGATGTCAAGACCTTTGCCCATCAGTCAACATTTTTGTAGTGATCTTGACTGTTTTTTTTTTGTTTTTTGTTCCACCCGCGGCGTCGCCCTCCAGACGACGGTGCGGCAACTTTACTATTTCTGATAGATGAACGAGCTGTTTCTAGGCAAACCGCTCCCTCTCTCCACTTTCCTGTCGACAGGAACTTTTGAGGATGTTTGGGTGGCGCCCCGTAGTTTAATGTGTTCAATTGGGGGGCGGGTTGATGTCGAAAAAAAAATGTGAGGGGAGAGGAATGCTCCGACGATCTGGGCCCCGTAGCATATCAAGCACAACTTCGAGGCTGACAATTGGAAATCATTTATGAGGACCGGTCCTTTACAAGAACGTGAGAATCGATCCCTAATCAAGGCACGTCCTACTATCTGGGAAAATTTTAGCAAAATGCACCCCCCCCCCCCCCAAGTTTCCTGCCTCTGGCAGTTTACGCCAGCTACTCTCATCCCATCCCCCTTCCAAACTCCCTAAGTTTTGCTCAGTTCTCGTTCTCCAGTCAGCCCAATATTTATAAGGAGTTCTTTTCAAAAACTTCTATTTTTCTTCCCTTTGAGTGTGGGGGGCAACTGAAAAGCGCTTCCCTGAAAGGGCTGATGAGACCATTGCTGGGGAATAGGACCCACGGCAAGTACAAAACCGTGCCCTGTGTTTGCCCATGTCCTTGGGCTGGCGAAAAGTAATCTGGTAACTGTATTTCCCTGTGTATGACCTTTAATTGGGCGCGGCAAAAAACGATGGTTTCTAATGTCATTCTAATGAAGAAAATGTAAAAAAAAAATCAAAATTCTTACCAGGAGTCTAGTCTGAGTTGGCGCTCATTTTCTCGGATATCGATTTTAAGAACCTAACCTGCTAGCTGTGAAACTGCTTCTTGATCATGTGCCCAATGTTCTGTGTATTGAAAGACAAATCCAGTGGCTGCGTCAACCTCATCCAATATATAAATGGGAGCTGGCCTGAATTTCAGCATGGCCAGCACCAGCGAAAGGGCAACCAAGGAGCGTTGTCCTGAAAAGAAAAAAAAACGTGGACACTAGAGCTAAGCAATCGATTCAGGCCTTTGGGAAAAGCTTTGTCAGGCGTAAAAATAACTTTGCCAGTCCGCCACCAATTCTTCCTACCAAACCAGGCTGAATAATTCGGTGGAAAGAAATGCTTACAAGGCGCGCTCCTTATGCATGCAGATTCGATTTACCAGCCACAAACAAGTTTTTTTTCGGGCATTCACTTCCCCTAACTTGCCGTTCGAACGTCTGTCGCTCTGGGCAGCTGCTTCCGAACGAGCACTTAATTCACAAGCTCTTCACCGGAATACCCTCATCCCGTGCGGGTTTTTCCTTCTCATCCGATACACTCAAGTATTCAGAACATCATTGCTGGGCGGATTCCAAGAAGATGGAGTCGCACTTATCCTGGGGAGAAATCTTTGCAGTTGTTGGTGCTTCCTCTTCTCTTGCATAAGTAAGCTACGCAGCGCCCGCCCCCCCCTGCCCCGCCATCTCACACCCCCCAGTTTCTGATAGTCATCGAAGGCGCCCTCGCGTCCAACAAAGGCAATATTTTGGATAAACTACTAATAAGGTGGAGGCCTAATGAGAGAGGAATCGTTACGCTAGACCAGGACAGGTCGTGTGTTGGGGAAGCGGACTCGCCCTTGGTCGGCGGAGAGAGGGCGCTTCTAACTGGCCTGGAAATTTTTTCTCACAGTTCACTTCTCCTGCTTCAAGCGCGCTGTCTACATTTTTGAGATAGTTGTACCGAGATAGTAGATAGATTGGCGAACAGGGGTCGTAGCAGAGGACGAAACTGGGGGGGGGGGGAAGAGTAACGATACCTTCACCACCGGTAGGGTGCTCTGCCCCGGACTTCTTTTTGAAGAAAGCAGTAGACACAGTGTCAACGATAGCAAGTCGCCATACTGACAGTACCAGGAACTCATTTCGCTTCCGTTTCCCCCAGGGCACATCGTTATTAAGGAATCCCCAACAGGGGGAGGGGTCGTATTTGGCCGCCAGGAGAGGGGTGTCGTATTTGGGCTGAGGAAAATTTATTTTGATAGTTGATTTTTCTCGCTTCACGGACGTCGTAAAGGCGAGGGGGGAGGTCGTGCTTGCTCACTGCTGAGAGAGAGGGGTCGTATTTACTTCTGGCCTTCTGGGAGAGGTGGTTGACTTTTCCTGATTTTCCTGTTTCATGCGTTTCATGCACAGTCTATACCCTCCCCCCGCTCGACGGCTCGATTCGATGAGGAGGGACAGAGGGCCGGAGGGGAGTCGTACCAACCCCCAAAAAAGGGGGGTCGTACGGACTCGACTAGAATCCCCAACCAATGATGTGCCCTGGTTTCCCCATTTCTCAAAGTCTGAGCTCTGTTCTCCTCGAAATTCGTCCCTGGGAAAAGATTTTACTAGAAACCTGTCCATGGGGTTAATTAGACCACCAAAAAAATCGAAACCACATCCGTTTTACACGAGAATAGAAACACCAGACGCTTCGTGACTCGTGTTTAGAGGGTTCCCCCACGGGGACGAGTACCCAAACAAATATACAGCCGGGGACAAATTTTGATTAAAATCTTCCGAGATTTCCAATAGGTGGGCACGTGAAAAGGATAAATATGGCCCAGTGCTGAATGTTCACCTCAACCACAACCATCACAGTGTCCATAACTCGTAAGCTGCTCACCTCCAGATAATTCCTGGAGCGATTCTTTCCATTTGCCATTGAATGCGACCTTTACTTCAAGTCCTTGCTCAACTGTTTTTCCTGCGGGAGGTTCTACTTTAGCCGAAGCGCCAGGCAATAAAGTCGAGAATATATTGCCGAAATCCTGAAATTAATAGTGAAAATTCTAACGCCAGTAACGCTGGGGGAGGGGAGGGGGGGGGGGCAAGGACTTCTTTTGTGCAAAGCCAAAAATACCACAGCAAAGATAAAGATTTTTGTCTAAAGAGATAAATGAAAAGAAATTAAAACTTTGGTCCTTCCATCCGTTTGATTTGGTAAGACGCAGTTTTGCACAAGATGTCCTTTCAATGCACCCCACCCCTCCCTAGGGCATTGTGCCAGGAAATCAATTTCCGTCAAGTAGACTTGACGATAACCATAATTTGACAGAAAATAGCCCGAAAATTAACAAAATCATCAATAAAGGATGTGTAAATTAGGAGGGAGGACCGGCATTTTGGCTTGGTGGAGGCACCTGTACTAGGTCCGTTCGCACTATTTCGAAGCTTCGCAGGGGTTTACAGGTCTCACCAAAATAGGACCTGTTATTCAACATGAACTAACAAACGGACTTAGTGTAAGTGTGACATGCCCCCTCCAAGCCGAACAGTGCCGAAAAATTTAGTGCAACCCTTAAAATTCTTACTTTATTAACTTGCGCATGAGCTTTGTGAATCTCTTGCGTTTTCTTGATATCCAGCAGTGCTATCGTATCCAACAACTTTTTCTTATCAATCGCTATTTGCTCCTTCTTCTGTTTCAATCCAAGCACCTTGAAATATTAAAATACATTCTATTTTCCGAGAAGCAGGACCACATATACGACTACCTGTTCCTCCACTTGTGACAGCACCCCCATGGCCCTAGTGTTCAGATTTTTACCCAGTTCATTCTTTCTGGCTTTCATGTCTGCTATCTCCTTTGATGCTTTCTCCTGCGTGTATCTGAAGTATCAAAGTATTTAATGATTTCCACAGTAAGAGTGTGGGCTTCACTGTCGGGGTCCGCCCACGAAAGACGGACGCCCCCTCTTATCATTTCATTTAACAGACACTTTATGACGTGCCAGGGAAGTGTTGTAACAAAGCCATTGTAGTAAAGTTCATCGCCCTGAGTACATTTCATCTGAATATGGAGATTTCCAGAGCACCGTCCAATATCACTTCCCCCCACACCCCAGTTTACATCACAAGGCTATATGCGAATTAGTTATGGGAATCAAATTGCTACGCCTAATAAAAAAAGGCGTTCTAACCAACAACATTATACACAGTAATTGCCAAGCGGCTTGTGCTGGGTCAATAACACTGCTCATTTATCATGCTGCACTTATTCCCGCCCTCTAGATGTCCCTCCTTTTCCTTGATGTTACTTTCACGAATACTTTACTAAAAACCACTTGATCCTAATTACATCAAAACTCACCCTGTAAAGTCATATTCAGTATTTTTCGATCCAAAGTGGGCCTTTTCGTCCAATATCCACGGATGAGCTTTAGCCTTGTGGTGAGCCTACAACATTGGACTAGAAGAAAATCAATTCCAAACGAAAAAATCTTTTTAGGCTCTAATAACCATGGGGGGGGGTGTCCACACCTTGCTTGTCAAGATACCAAATCCTGCAAGCTGTATACATGTGGATACAGGAAACCTTGTCCAACATCCTGTAAGGCTTGTTATCCCCTGTTAAGCACCCTGTAAACTCCCGTCAAACATGTCGAAACGACCAGACAAGATTTGGAACGATATGGAAAAATAGTGTTCGAATGACGCTAGTACCATTTCGCCAAGCTTGACAGGAGTTCAATGGGTACTTGACAGGAATTCACAGGACCTGCAGGGTGAGACAGGACTGTGCACACTTCTGACAAGCTTACATTGACAACCGCTTACAGATAGGGCAGACCCCCCCCTCCAAGGTCATTATAAGAGCCCATTTTCAGAAAGTTCAATAGAAGTACTTTACCATCTTCTTGTACGCTACAGAATCCTCCTTAGCTTTTTCTATGTCGGTTTCCAACGAAGCCAGTTTCGATTTCTGAAAGTGAACAGCACTTGTTAACCAATATTTCACGCACTGGGAGCTTTTCAAGGAACTCACCAGCTTGACAATCTTCTTATTTGTGACGTCAACTTTGTCTTGATGGATTTTGATGTCCTTGTCAAACTCCTTTAGCTCTTTTTCAAACTTCTTCAGAGTAGCCACGGCGGCTTCGTGTGCTTGCTACAATTGGATTTCACTTCAAATTGGAACAAGCAGGCAAACCAGTTTGACCGAAACATGAAGGACATGGCACAGGGTACAGCCTCGTTCGTTGTGCGAAACCCATAGGGGGGTCGTACTTGGCCGCTGGGGAGGGGGGGGGTCGTAACCTCAAGGGCCAGTCAGCACCGGACAACGCTATGACGATTCGCTGATAGAAGGAGTAGAGCTGTGAAAGCCGTGATGCTACAAAAAAAATGTGAAAATTTCCATGAGTGGATTCTCGACAGATTCAAGCGCTCCGCAGCTTTCTTCTCTTCTGCGGAATCCCCAGAAAAGTTGACGTGCTTGGCCGCAGGGGACGGGGGGGGGGTCGCAAATGCAGGGTCGGTGGGCATTAAACAGCACACAAGTGTCATTGCTAAATTTGATGGAACAAACGGAAAGCTGGAGATGACCCGGATATGAGGAAGACTACAACAAAAATAATAAAAAATTGATTTAGGCATACCGAACCAGTCAGCATGACTCGTCAGTGCGCTTAAATGAATAAAAAGTGAAGTCTCAAACAGGTTCGGCGTTCATGTACCTTCCCGAAATCCTAAACACCTGAACGAAAATCGCTTGCATAGAAAAATCACCCAAAATCAGAAATTACACCTTTCCACATCTCTGCGTAGATGCGCAATTCACGGCCACACCCAGTCTCAACTCATCGCGATAACCAAACTCTTCTTTAACTCATTTGAGTGGGAATATGTGTTTTGAAGTCATATTGGAGTTCTTGAATGAGTATCATCGTGATGGTACGGAAGGAGTCGATTTTCGGGTGGGTCAAAGGGTAGCGCGAAGGTAGCCCACCTAAAATATCTCCTGAACTAGCGGGTCTTCAGGGAAACAGTAGAGCTTATTGGAAAGAGAAAAGATGGGGCTACTCCATAACGATTTTAACCCTGATGAAATTGCGTTCGTGAAGGAAGCAATCCTTGTGTGAAGCATAAAAACCCGGCTTGCGAATCGAGGCCGGTAGCACAACCGGATGACCCATCAGCCAGAAGAGTTATTCACACGCAACAGGGAGAAACATTCAGATCGCAGCTAGATGAAAAACCACAGTAGTCATGATGTCCGTGGCACGCTACTCCGAACGATCTCCCACAAAAGCGGATCCGCAAGTAAAACTACACGGCCTGCCTGAAAAAAACTCCAGAACCGCATTGAGTCGAGAAATACGCGCTACCAATGACGTTTTGTGGCAATACGGCAGCACATCGAGAGATACCGAGTCGCCTAGTCCATTTGTTCCAGTGCGTTGTTTTAATTGTTTCTCTGTTAATGTACAATCGTCACTGTTATTCGTATTTATCTTAGTTCGGCGCCCAGATTTTCCTCAGTGACTAGTCCCAAGCCATACCGGCACCCGGAAAAAAGGCCGGACCCCAACCGAGGTTTCATCGGGGAGTTCAGTGCCCTGAGCTGCAAAAAATTTGTTTATTTTCTGTTTCCTTTGTTTTCACATTTCATTTCATGAGCGTGTCTTAAAATTTCCTATTGGTCAAACTGTTCCAACTTCCAATACATTTATAGTTACAAGTCGAAATTAAACAACGAGGAAAAAAGAAATAGAAGGCGCTGTTACTTGGGCCGCTCCGAGTGCTGCTAGCGCTTAATTTCATATTTTTTTTTCAATTGCAGTTGTCTCTTGTATAAAAGTTTGTTTCATACAGTAAAAGAGGAAACGAGAAAGGTGGGCCAAACTTGAATAGCTTTTGCTGTTTGTAAATCCTCTTTTTTGAATTGCAGGATAAAACGGGCGGAAAGCATGGGAGCTTCATCTAGGGTAAGTTTTTTGATGCTTTTTTCATTCTTCGAGCTTATATATGGATTTATGAAGTTTCCTAATACTTGATGTTGCATAAAACATTAGTGTTTCGATTCCTGGGTGAGTTTCATTCTATTTCTTTTTTTCGTAGTTTGAATTCGTCTTTTAGACTAAAAGAGTTTTAAAAGTTGGAACAGTTTAACCAATAGGCCATTTTGAGACACTCATATAAAATGAAACTGAAACTCACTTATGAAATAAAGTTGCTCTCATTTGAAACCCTTTTGTGCAGGAGGGGGGGGTCGTAGGTGGACCCGCTTGGAGGGGGGGGTCGTACTCACACGGCCATTTCGCACATCTCCATGCTGGTAGCCTGAGGGACACTTCGTCTGTCAAGTTCCCGCCACGCGCCCGCTAAGTACGGCATATTGGCTACTGGTGCTTGGCTACAATACCGCTACCACGCCATTGAAGGGGGGGGGAGGATGGAGGGCAGGGACCGCTATTTGCTCGTCACTTCACTCCCCCAACCCCCACCGCCGCACACTAAAAGCCTCATTCAGCCACTGTATTCCGTAGCTTGAATTAGTAGCTGTTGGCGGCGACCTGCCCAACCCCCGCACCCTACCTCGCTCGACGGCCAATTTTATTGCGGGAAAACCTCTGGAAGCTCCTGACGGGAAACTGAGAAGAGTCTCCGCCATGACATTTCTCATTAAAATGTGTTTACGCGCTCTACACAAGCAAATTCAAGGGCGCTTAGGGCTTCCATTGCCATAGAACTTTTTGTTCGATATGAAGAAAATGTACTCGTAATAAATAAAGATTAGACGGCCGCTAAAAATAGGCACTTCACGGTTTAGTTGCAACTCTAAGCAAAACAACTGACGCTATCCACATAAATAACGTAATGCCATATACGCTACCACATAAATAACGTAATGTCCCATGGCTGAAGCCTGGTTATTTATCACATAGTCCTTTGATGGGATGAGGCAAAGGCTCGAGTCAGTCTCGCGCCTCTCTCATGAGAGTCATTGCTTCATTTTTTCAACTTTGAAGTAAGATTTCTTCACTCCTGGCCAATATAATGTCAGGAAAGCCCCTTCGCAGTTACCAACCCTACACAACAACAAACCTTCTTGAAGCGCTATAAACTCGGAGGGGGGAGCATCTGAAGGACTCCTTCTGGAAATCAGAAGTACCATAAAGGGGGTTAGGACTCCCGCGGACTAGGGAGAACCCAAGGGCAGGCGTAACAGTCTAGAACACGATAATTGTATTTGGACGATAGTTATCTGTCTTGCACGAAGATTCCTTCAAAAACACGACAAGACAATCGCAATTCGACGCGTCGTCGCGCGCGACGTATCGCGACGTGTCGTGCGGCTGTGCGCAGCAAATTCTTGCTTTGCAGTTTCTCGATTACAGCACCCAAACTCATGTGAGCTAATGCAGAGGCGAGATTCCATGTCCTGTGATATCGATCTTTCCTATCCCTTCAAGAATCATATCCAAATCGCCAACCATGACTACTCGTCCCTCGCGTGGGCGACGTCGCTTGCCACGCCCAGCACGGCATATTACGATTATCTTGCCGCACGCTCTTTAAATGGGCTCTTGTCCATGCAGGAAACATCTAATTACAATAAATTCAAGCTATAGCCTCCCTCGCAAGTAGATTGTGGGTTGAAAGCAGCTATTACCAACGCAGTTTTCCTAGTGCCAGGTAAAAAATAGCCCACATTTCCCCTGTCGAGAACAGAACAAGTTTAATTACCCATGTTCCTGCTCATTGAACCCGATGCACATCTGAAGCATCAATTATAGGTAACTCAGCGATATTTCAGCAATACAAGAAGTTTGTACGCGGTGCTACGCAACCAAAACTACATAACAACTCTGAGCCGTAAAGAGTTAAATATGGTTCCATGAAAGCAGCGCAACTGAAAACTCCGCAAATCTAGCTAGATTTTTTCCCCGTATTGTCTAGACGTCACATTTTGAAGAATCAGTTCATAAAAAGGCTATCAGGGTATGGGTCTAGACAGATTCCCCATCAGGTGGGGTGGGGCATTCTCGGTCGCAGGGGAAGGGACACTTAAGGGGGAAGGTGTGCGGCAAGAACTTTTCGCTTTGTTTCCCTCTGCTAGACGGCGACACTTTATTTTGTTTATGAAATAGCTGATCGGTTGATCCCTCCCTGCTGAACTTGTTTAGGGGTCGTATTTTGGAAAGTGTACCCTAATCCATGGTGTGCCTTGGAGTAGACATTTTTGAGCTTTACTTGAGTGTCGCTCGGGAGCTCCACGTTGCGGCGCTGGACCACTGCAATATCACATATGTGGCGTCAGATCACCGGGAATTAAATGGTTCAACATGGAGGCAACAGGCAACAGTATGTTCCGTGACAGCTACAGAAAATGGTGTAAAATGGGCTGACGCTGTGCCAAACGCAGCCCTCCCTGAGCTTGCGCACGTCACCGTAACGTGGGCCTCCCAACCGACATCAACTAGCATCCACGATTTCGGGGAGATGCTTCTTAAAATCTTTTTTGTAGCATTTTTTCCCTTAACTGGGATACTGTAAATCCCGAGGGTGAACGGGGGAAAAACCAAAGGAAAATGGAACAACGCTGCCCTAAAGAGAGGCAATCAGGCATCAAAAAACCTTCCAACGACAAATCAACTCCTGTCACATCGGCCACTTTTCTTCGCTCATTCGATGTGCGCTATATGTCATGAAGACTCGTTCAACCCGACTTTTCGACGATGACAGCGCTTCTTCTTCTTTTGCTATCTGCTCTTTCATAGTCGCCAATGTGCCTCTGAAAATGTCCATTTAAAACTAATACTTCAGTAGAACACCTAATCAGCGGCGCAGTTGCTTCGGTAAGCGCAGCGGACCAAATGGTCGCCCCCATGAGATGTTTGCCTACACCGCCCCACCCCATTGTAGAGATACTGTAAATCATCTCTGTAGCAAAGGAGGGCCCACCTTAGCAACCATTTTTCAAGCTTCACAAGAGTTTACAGGTCCCACCGGAGTGTGAACTAACATGAGGGACTTTCGAAAGTGCAAAATGCCCCTCCCAAGCCCAATTACGCCCTTATCTTTATGTAAGATCAAAAATCATACCGAGTGCTGGTTAATGAATCACTGAGCTTCTCAAAGTCTCTTTTGGCCTGTTCCAAACGCTTTTCAGCTGCATCAGACTCCTTTTGAGCAGTTTTCTTGGCCTTATCCTGAAAATAAGACTACATTTGCTCCCAAGCTGGTAAAAACATAGTAGTTCTCGCGTCACTCTACTACAAATCCTATTTACAATTACTTTCAACGACAAGGCTTCTTTACTGAATCACACTGCCGCCGCGCAATCTGAGGTCTATTTGGAATTGCTCATGCATAACAAGCTTCTATGTACGCTCCATGCGGCTCTGTTTGCTTATGTGTAATAACAATCTAAATGGCCATAGTTCTTGGCCAATAACTTCTTCTGGCTCGCCCAATCTCGTATAGCTCCTCAAGCACTTTTCATGCCCAAGTCTGATTGCATATGCTCTGAAGGAGCTCTTACTAAGAGCCATTCATCCACTCTAGAGAAGATGATTTCGCTGTGATTAGTTTACCCGTATATTCCAATTTAACGATTACTTTTGTGGGCAATAATTAATACATCACCATCAGGGCACTTTGTTGGGGTAAATTTCAGCAAAATTTCTGGAGCCCCCTTGAGCTTCTTACTTTGGTGCGACCCCCCCCTCTTCCTCATCCCCCATCCTACCTACCATCCTATGACTTTTCCTAACTTCCTACCACTTTTCCCCATTTGCAGAAAAAAACAACTTTCAGTTTCTTCAAAAAAATGTCGTCGAGCGGGCTGTGGGGAAGAGTTTTGCCATCAAACGACTACTTATTTGGACAATGGAAAATAGTAGTTGTATGGTAGTTCTGAGCCGCCAACCACGGGTGGAAG